TATGAGGTTGAATGAGACAAGGTCTCATTTTAGGAGCATATTCTTTTGAAATTACTGGAGAAGAACTCTAGCTTACTATGGATGGAATAAGGTGAGAGGAAAACAGACTGTACTTGTAATAAGAACACTCTTCTTATGGCTACCTATTTTTGTTATTTCTGTAATCCAAAGTGGCACTGACGCAATACCAGCTTTAAGATTTTCAGCCCTATCTGTTTGGCTGCCCTATGCCACATAATTTATTAAAATATACCAGGTGAATATAACTCTGAGAGTTATTGATTTATTCTAGTGAGACTCATATCAGAGTCCAGGGGCCTTTCAATGAGAGTTCTCACAATCTCTTCTTCAGCTGATCTAAAACAGCTGTTTCCACTTAGTCCCCTTTCTCCAGTGAGCCAGGATAACCAGGCCTGGCTCTGCATCGAATTACCTGTGTGATTATACACACTTACTTCACCAGTCTCCTACAGCTAGACTAGATTTGAGAGATGATCTCACAACTCAGCCTCTTCATTGTGGTAATAGGAATTCTGGGTCAGAGGTTAAGTGGTTTTTCAGAGGTTGTTCAGAAAGTTAGTGGCAAACTGAAATCTGTAATTTCTGACTGTTCTTATTACTTTGTATATAGTATGCTACCTTTCTTATAAGCACCTTTGATGAAGATCAAATGACATAAATGTCCGTATGCCTTGGTAGGCATAAAATATCACAAGGTAAATTATTTCCACTTGCTTTCTATTTAGCAGCAGGCATAAATGATCCTTTGCATTGTCATTTCTTGATTCTAAGAATCTTGGAAGCAGAGATGATTTTTTATGTCTTTTTTTGTCCTTGAGCTCAAGTCCAAGGTGATACTTTTAAGTATCTGGGCATGCTAATAAATTGACACCCTTTGAAACTGAAATTTGTTCCATTATTTATTTAGAGTACAGAAGAATAAACTGATTTTCTGATAATGAAAAGCATATGCTTTATGTTTAAACCACAGGTTTATTATATTTATTTATTATAGTTTTTTGACTAGTTTCTTGGGAGACATTTTAAGCTGATAAATATTTAGATAAAAGAAAGCACTCATTTATGATTTTAGCATTTTCTTCTTACTGTGACTTAACTTCAGGCAGTTGTCAGCTCACAATTTAAGGTTAGTTAAGGAATCAGGATTTGCCTGCGATCAAATCTCACTCTTACTAGCTGTGTGACCTTGCACAATTTTTAAAAATTTCTGTATGCCTTTGTTTCTTCATTGGCATAATAGTGGTTAAGCTAAAATTGACCACTGTACCATGGACTCAAATTTACTCCACACAATAATCATGTGACTGGTGAGGAAATGAAGGCATATAGTGGTTACAGAGCTAATAAATAGTAAAAGTGAGATTTGAACTCAGGTAGTCTAACTCCAGAGTAGTTTTTGAGCACTTTGCTACCCCCTTCTTGACTACTTCCTATGTTGTTCGGAGGAGTAAATGAGATACAGTGTGTAGAATGCTTGGTACATTTTTAGATTTCAGAGCTTTTTAGATTTTGGAATAAGGTTTTATGAACCTAGAGATTAATTTAGGGAGAATTAGTAATATGTAATTGTCCTTGGTTATAAACAGTTCTGATAGCTTTTTGGAAGTGTAAGAATCACAGGCCCTACCCCAGACCCTCTGGGTCAGAATCTGCATTTTAAGAATGTGCATTTGAGATCCCTAAAGTTCGAGAAATGTTGTAGTATCTTGACTGTTTCTTCCAACTCATGGTTGTGAGTGATCCTAGGACCAGTCAGCATGGATACTCCAGTTGTTGATTATTGTATTTAGCAAAGAAAATAATAACATATTAAGGATTATTTTAACAAAAATCCCTGTTATGTCGGTTTATTTCTGTTTTTTTTTTTTTTACTTCCATTTTAGGTCAGCTCTTGAGGTAATTAATACCTGTTTGAATTTGTGAGCAGTTTTTGACATGGTACAAAATTATCCTAAGTTTTATGATCCTGTATCATTTTAGGAACTAATTAGAATTCAGAATTCTTAAGTGGTGTTACAGCAAATGTTTTTCTTAATTCATCACACTGAATAGTAAGATTATAATATCAGCCAGTTATATGTATGGGAACACTAAGAATAACATAAAACTTTATTTTTGGGCAATTCACTATATTCTGAGGTTTTAATGAAGAGTTTAACATTTGAAGTTAATAGTTGTAAGAGATTAACTACAAAGCAAATGAGCACTTGGCTTGCTTGATTAGGAATATTTAATTTTATTAGTCTGTGGAACTTAAACATTTCTCTCAAACTTAAAAGCTTCTCTTGTGGATTTTTTTTTTTTTTTTGGAATGTGATGGTAAGGTCCGTTGTTCACGGTTAAATCAGTAGCACCTGGCACATTTTGTAGGTATTCACAAGTATTTGTTCAGTGAATGAATAGGAGTTCATTTTTTGGTGATTTTGCTACCCTTTTCAAATGAGTAATAAGAGATCTGTAGGGATCTGAAAACTTGAGTTTTTTTACAAACTGAGGATCTCCCCTTGTTAACTAATTGTTGCATTAATCTTCCCAATATCAAATAATTGATTTTTCTTTTGAAAATTTCTTTAATTGTTAAAGATGTGATTCAAACGTAAGAGTAAATAAAATATTTATATGGTTTAGCCCCCCTGTTTGTTGTCTTCCAGTTACATGCTCTTTTATACCCAGAGATAGCCACTTTCCATAGTTTTATCTTTAAAACCTCTGAATATATCCTTAAACAATAAGTTGTTTAGCTTTGCAAAACTGACGAGCAAGCGTAGATCTAACTGTGTGAAAAAAGTAATATTGCTAATTTTAGATCAGATCTCACTGGAGAAGGTGGGTTGAATAAAGTGTCTGGGTTGTAGTCTGGTTTCAGCTTTCTTTTTTTTTTTTTGTCTTTTTTCATGTCCGGCAACGGATCGCAACCCTCAGTGTCGCACCCGTACCGGACCGGACCGGGACCGGCAACAGGATCGCAACCCTCGGTGTTGCGCCCGTACCTCACTCAGCCAGTGAGCGGGAACCGGTCTGTATGTGGGATCCAAACCCTCGGCGGGAGCGCCGCCGCACTCCCAAGTGGCGCACTGTAGCAGTGCGCCACCGGGCCGGCCCTGGTTTCAGCTTTCTGCAGAGCTTTTAAGAACTCTTTTCTAGGGAAGTCAGTGGATACGGTTTTGAGTGAGCCTTGGGAAAGAGAATCTGCTTCCCATAGTTGGGCATCTGGCAGTACCATAGTGTGGATCAGGTAGTAGATGTTCAGCAGAAATATTATTATAGGCACTGGGCTGCTTTGTACTTGTTCTAAATCACTCTGTTCTACTTTCAGCTCTTCAAAGAAAGTCAAAGGAGACCACTTCTGTAGGTGAAACAGTATTCCCAGCTGATTCAGGGAGGAGAGCATGAAGGCAGAACAGAAACTTCATGAACAGGCAAAATAAACAAGAGTTGTGCCATCCCTATATAGCAAGGAAAACAACACAAACACCCCCCAAAACTCCACTGAGGGACCTAAAAAGAGATATGAATAAACATAAACATAGTATTTTGGAGTAGGAAAACTCAGTATTATAAATATGAGGGTACTTTAAAAGTTTGTGGAAAAATAGAACTGAAAAAGAATACAAATCCTTAACTTTTTGAAGTACCCTTGTAAATTCTCCCTCAATAAATCTTTTCTGAGATTTCTGTGCACATGTCATTTAATCATTCAAAGTTTCTTAGACCAAACATATGCAGTTGCTTTAATTTTCTCCATAGCACTTATCCCCATGTGTATATATGATCATTTATTTGTCTTTTTCCCCCTTCTGGAATGTAAACTTATGAAGGTATATGAACCTATGAGGGTATGTTTATGTTTCTCTCCTTACTAGAATGTAGACTTCTGAGGTGTGTTTTTTCCTTGTGGTAATCCCTAGCACCTTGAACTGTGCTTATTATAAGCATGTAGGAAGCACTCAGTGACTGATGAATAAATGAATGAATGAATGAATAAATAAATAAATACAATTCTCTTTCTCTCATAATCCGCAGCACTTATTATCTATCCCATAGTTTTTGATCATTAATTTTCTTCAGTTTAGCATCTTATAATATTTTCTAGTACTTACTTTTGGTTCAGTGTCTGATTGTTTTATTCCTGTAAGATAGTCTTCTCTATGCTCCTTGATGGCACAAAGTAGGACAAATGCTTCTTTTGTACCTCACAGTGCAAGGCAAATGGATATAGGAACTTGTTATATTGAATACGTTTATTTATTCATAATGACTTAAATTGCTAAAATCCATTTTGCCCTCACAACAGGAATATTTTACTGGATGAAACAGTATAATTCTGTACAAAATAGGGTTATTTTTGAAATATGGAGACTACTTGGAGATATTTTGTTGAGCTCATGGTAGATTTTGGTAAGTGGAAGTTGGAACTTTTGCAATTATAATTTTATGAATTTCTGTGCACAATTTGAAGAGAAGAAAAATACAATTTTCAGTGAGATGGATTTCTTACCTTCAAATTTCAATTAAAAAAAAGTCGTAGTTATGTTGGGATTTAGTTTTAAAATGAAATATTAATTTTAAATAAGTTTAACTTTGTAGCCTGCTTACCCTTTTATATATGCTTCTGCATTTATAAATACACATACAAACATTTCAGTAAATACTTTGTATTTCTCATGCCAGCATTTCATTCAACAATTGGTGTAATTATTTCTCTCTTGTTGTACCTTTTGGATTGCAACTAGAGTTTTTTAAATCATTGCTGATATTCTGTAAATCTCTTTATCCATATAAGATTTTGTGTACCATTTCTTGGGAATAAATTTCCAAGAGTATACTTAACATTTCCAAGAGTAAATATCTTAACAGTCACTGAACAATACCGTAAGTGTTTAAAAGGAGTAATAAACCCTTGTAAAAAATTTTGTTGGTTCTTTTCTAATTCATGTGGAGAATCTTACTTATTTATATATTTTTTTGCTTTATTTCAGGCCAGTCTATCCATATGGGGATGGGGAAGCCTTGGCATTGCCCTTTTTCTAATAACCTTTGGACCCTTTGTAATATTTTATTTGGCATTTTATATCCTCTGCTTTGTGGGTGGGTAAGTATAATCAATGATAATTTTATAATTCATGTGTCATCTTTGTTCAAAATGCAAATAAATGACTGTGTGAAATGGGAATATGATTTCTTCGTGAATGCTGTTTTTTATAAATTGTTTTTACCAAAGTTTTTTTAAAAAAGCAAAACTAAGATACCCATAGGAATAAAAACAGTGATATTATTTGTACCAGATGTATGTGTAGTTGTCTTCAAATTAAAATTTCAATTTCTGAAGATACAGATTTTTTTTTGTGTGATACTATGGAAAGTTTTTAAAAGATTTTTAAATTCCTTTTGGTATTATTTTCTTTTTAAAGTTGAATTATAATGTTAGGATAAGTAAGTTAAATTGAGATGAGACATCAAGTTTTACGTTGCAGAAGGTATTGTTTCTTTGATTAGACTTCAAACAATAATGTAAATTATTTCCTTAATGAATGTTTTCATTTTGGTCTAGAAAGTTCAAATGAATACTTGATTTTGCAGTTTTCTCTTCATGGTTGTTTGGTTTACAATGTTTTTGTTTTCCTTTAAGTTGATAAAACTTTCTTTACAAGGGAGGTTTCAGTCGTAATTATAGCTTTCTATGCAGAGCATTTGGTATCAGATATGTTATAAGAAAATGTGTAAAATGAGATGCTTGTTATTTAGACACTAACCAAGGTAGCTTAGCTGAAATGACTATTTTGTTGTTCATGTGTGTGTGTATGTGTATACATATATGATGTATTTATGTAATTAGTTGTGAAATGAACACTTACGAGATTTTTAAAAAAAATCTTTTGAGACCCCAAACATTTGGAGGAGTTGTTTGAGCCTATAGGTTTTAGAGGATTTAGATGAGTTGAATAGCATATATAAATAGTGGCCCGAGAGACTGTATAAGGCACTGAAGAGGTAGCCTCTGAATATATCTACTACCTATCACCTTTTTCAGGGTACAGGTTTGAAAGTCATGTGTGTAATTATTTTATAGGGAGCACACCCACTGCTGAACAAATGAGAATTACTTTAATCAAGCAGCTAAGACTCTCCGTAAAACTATATTTTATGTTAGATTTAGTATTTTCATTATAATTGCCTAGATATGATACTGTGTACTGAAACAATTAAATGTATTTCAGCCATTGGAGCCAGAAGGAGTTCAGAATATCTTTATTGGTGATAAAGATGATTGAAGACCGTACAGATCTGCAGCCAGATGGGCTTCCTTCCCAATTACACTCCTGAGTCACTTAAGGCCACAACATGGCTGCAATAGCTGCATGATTGCTTCTTTCTTCCACAGGGTCAAGGATGCTTTTACTGATTGGAAAGGAGATTATTTGTGTTGAGGAGGTGTTTCTCTGAAAGGGAATATTTTTTCTTGTAATTTCACTAATTGAATAAGCCCTTGTCAACAGTGAATGAAAGGATTTCAGAATATTTTTCAGTTCTTCAGAAAGGGAGGAAATTGCAGCTTTATGGGTGAAGGTAGGAGCCCTTGGAAGATGGAGGGGTGGAAAATCATTTCTTTTTTTTATCAAACTGCTCCATATAAAATTTGGGAAAGAGAGAAGAGAAGGGTGACCAGTTCATTCATTCCAAAGTCATGGGAACCTTTGTTTCTCCCTTTTTGAATCTGCTAATTTATCATGGAATAATATTAAAAAAAAAATTGTGGCTACTTACAAAGTTCTGTAAAATTTTTTAGGTAAGGTGCGATATTGGAGGATGTGAGAGGAGCATTAAAAAACAATTTTAATAATATTGAGTAACATGCTTGGTTCTGAAATTCCAAGTTCATGCTATATCATAAATTTATCTGATGTTCTCTTTTAGACCATGTTGATCTCATTGAAACTCACTGCCATGATAAGGGACATCTACTTATACTAGCAGGCCTCCTGAATTCATCTCAGAGGGATTTTTTCTTTTATTAAAGATATAATTTTAAAAATTACATCCTTAAAAAAGTAAAACCACTCAGGGATTTTTTGTTTTTGTGTTTTTGGTGATTACTGTGGGATACTGTCAATACTGTAATATAGTTATTTCATGGTATTCTGTTATACTTTTTGGGTTATGTAATCATTTGTAGAACCTGTTTTTACTTAAACCTCATGTCTGAAATTACTAATTACTAATTCGTAAGATCAGACTGTCCTTTAATTTGTCTTCCTACTATTGTACTGTAGGCAAAGGTTAACGTTTTATCAGTCTGTTTCATAATGATGTTTTTAGAAATGCGTTGTTAATATAAGCATTTTATTGTGTCTTTAAGTGTGCTAAATAACCAGGTAAAACTGAAATATAGGGCCTGCTTGAATCTTAGTAATTATATCAGATATAGCACAGATAGGTGAAATTTACTAAAAATTGAGTCCAACCTTTTACAGAAAACTAAAACCAGAATCAAAGACATGAATTGGTTTGACTGTGTCTGTTTTCTTCACCCACTACCACCACTTTTATGGTACCTTACTGAAGAGCAGTGAAATGGCAGGTAGCCACAAAAAGCAGAGGACTTTGAGAATTTTCCTTTTAATAGCTGAGACTGACCATATTTAATTTTTCACTGCTCCATTCTTGTCACTATGGTCTTATAAGATCATTGTCAAATTAAAATTTAATTTTCTTCTTTTGTTGATTTTCAGCACTTATGTTTATTGTTAAATTTTAAATATAGGAAATATTGATAAAATTTAGTCGATACTTAAAGTGAAGTAGTTCTAAACCAGTATTAATCTTACCTTGATCCTAATATTGTTTTAAAAATAATGAACCTTTTTGGGGCACATTTACATTTCTTTTCTTAATTCCAGCCTGATTTTAAACAAATTATACATTGGGTCTTTTTTTCCTGTATAGCTTTTGTTTATTCCATATTCATAGTGACAAGTTATATTAATATTAATATTATATCTTAATTAGTTAACAGAACTGTAGAATTTGTTGATTTATATCTCATTTGTTTTTAATTCTCGGTTGTTAGCTAGCCTACTTATTTAATGAGGGCTGATTTTCCTAAAGTTCGAAAGTGTTGCCTGAGATTTTTTATGAAATATACTTGATTAAAATTTTGAAAAACATTGTGCAATTCACAAAATGTTTATAGTTGTTTGAAACTTTAGAACATAGCAAAATCTGTCAATTTCTTGCTTTGCCAAAGTCACAAACTGACTTTTTAGTGATTGCTAAGCCATTTATGAAATCTGAAAAATGTACTTGGTAATAGATGTGTTAAATTGTAGGACAATTTTGTTTTTGTATCTACAATTCAACTTTTTTTTTCTCTAGGGGTTTAGTGGTTACTCTCCTGTTTGGCAAAACAAACTCAGAGAAGTACTTAGAGCAGTGTGAACACTCATTTCTTCCTCCAGCATCAACTGGGGTTCCTAAGGTAAATAGTATGAAGGAATGTGAAACTTCAATATTCAGTTTTTTGTAATGATAATACTGTGATTATCTGTATATGGCTTGGCAGATTTTCCTATATAATTTGCTAAATGTTCCCTGTAAGTTTATGGGAGATTTTCTGATCATACTTAGAAGATATATTTTGAAAAGCCACTTCGACAACTCTTTTATGTTAGATGTAAAAAGTGGGAATGCAAATTTGAAGAAAAGGTAAAAATTGATTAGGTTAATTTGGGTGTTTTTCCTGCTGTCTTAACATAGAATTTTAAAGCATCACGCGTATGATTTGTAAGAATGTCAATGAACCACTTTGACATTCATTTATCTGTCTATCATTCTTTTATCCTCTGTAACTACTTTGCAAATATATCTTTCAGTTAGGTTATGCAGCATGTATAGTTTTAATAATTCAGGCCTAATTTTTATCATCTTGAATGGTGCTATTTTTCTTTTTTTTTCTTTTTGCAGTATCATACCCTATAAATAAAACAGGAGTTGGGTATTATGGGTAGGCTTCAGATTTGCAGTGCCTTCAATTCTTATTCTGGGATTAGGGTGATTTCATCTTGTATGAAGAACGACAAATGGCCTGTAGTTGATGCCAGTAACTTTACAGTTATTAACTTGTTGATTATATGCTGAGATATAGGAAATGCAGAGATAAGTAATGTACAGTATTATTTTACACTACTGAAATAAAAGAATTTCACTCTATCCCACTGATGTTTATATTGATAAACTAATTTTTTCTAATACTCAATAACTTTTTTATAATCTGAAACTTTTTTCTCTCCTCCTTTAGGACTCCTGATGATACGTATTCTTTGAGTTTGCTTACAAGTTTTTTGGAGAAAATGAACTTTTTCTTTTTTTTTTTGAACCACTTCTTAGCCATCCAGAGTTTACATTTTTGAGTGGTATATATTGAGAATGGGAAATATTTTAAGAATTAAGATCCTAAACAGTGATAAATCAGGGTCAAGACTGGTTAAGTCTTTATAATCCATTTTCTAGTAGATGGTATAAAAATAGTGATTTTTATTTGCTCTTTCTAAAACATGATTTATGTTTTATGAAAAAAATCTGAGTGGTTTCATTTTAAGAATTGAAATGTATATATATATATTTGTGCTTTGGTTTATATTTTTAATTTAAGAGTCTCCCACTACCTTTCACCCCATTCTCAGGCCACTGATCTTTCTGACAGCTAAGAAGTAGAGAAATACATTTTCTGTAGTTGCCAAAAATCTTCCCTAAATAAAATCAGTCATTTGGAAGCTGGTTACTGTTTTGGGCTGGGAAGGGAGAGAGAGAATAGGGAGAAAACAATTATTAATTTGATTCATTTGAAAGACAAACTTTGTAGTTTTAAGGTTTCATTGAAATACAAGGGTACTTCAAAAAGTCCATGGAGAAATAGAATTAAAAGATAGCATTAATCTTTCCTTGAACTTTTTAAAGACCTGTTGTATACTTGTACATTTTCAATTTTCCCACTTTCTTAAATATTGTTTGCTGATTTAATTAAATCTTTGAGGATAATAGATTTTTTTTTCTGGGTGTCTAGTTTTATTAACTTCAGAAATAGTGATTGGTTTATTCTAGAGTCTCTAGAAATAAGATTTATTGACTTGAGGATTATAAAGGGAAATTATAATGAGTATTCAGTTAGAAGTAAACTTGAGAGATTTTAAATGAAGAAACTACTCAGTAAAGTATTATGGTTTCCTTTCAGTGCTTAGAAGAAATGAAACGGGAAGCCAGAACTATTAAGATCGATAGAAGGTTGACAGGTGCCAATATAATTGATGAACCTCTCCAGCAAGTGAGTTTTAGTATGTGGTATCTGAATTCCATGTATTGTGTGCTAAGTGTATTTCTTTTGAGAATACTAAGAAATGCTTTTTGCCGTATAAATGATCTATTAGAATTTCATGATAATGCTGTCCTTGATTTCTATACATGAAGATGCTACCTTATTTATTAACTCACTTTAATGAGGTTGTTTATTTACTATGAAAGACTTTTGAATGAATTTGCATTTAGAAAAAGTTTTTACTGACATTTGATAATGTTTTTAATAATTTTATATTTAAAGTGTCACTCTTTTGCCAATGAATAAGTGTGTGGTTTAATAAATCAAACTCTTTTTTCTACTAGTGTTATTATTTCTTTAAGATGGAAATAACTGGTTTAATCCAAAAGTATTTAAAAATTAGAATTAGGTAAAACAATTATTCTCCCCCAAATATTTTTCATTGATGTTTGTTTGATTATATGATAATTACAAATAATGTGTAATTGAAAATTTTAAGTTATTTTATATGAACCTATATTTTATCTGATTTGCAAAAATTATACATCGAATTCTATTAACTGCTGTTTAGTGACTAACAATACTGTTGGCAGTATCAAAGGTATTAGTAGAGTTAAGTGAATTCCTGTATCATTTTTGTAATTAGACTACAGTGGATCTGATGATAAAATCTCAGAAAATGGTTTTTTTTTTTTTGATAATTAGAGTGTATCAGCATTATTTTCCATCTCATTCCATCAAACTGATTAAAACTCTTAATTATATTACAGTATTGAAAATTTATTTATTTTTTCTGCAAACTCTGTATTTACATGAATTTGGATGGGGCTTGGCCACAGATAATGTTTTAGTTTTTTAAAAAATTTGGGCAGTGGATGAATTGGTATACCAAAATATTTTTAAAAAATAAGAAATGGTTTTTAGCATGTTATGCTTTTGTAGTGCAGGCTGGTATTTACCACCACAACTTAGTAAGTAGAGAGTAAGTATAAATTGGCAGATAATCGTCTTAGTTTTTAGGTTGCCACTGTTACTTTTTAAATCCTAAATAGTTTTATTTTTTCCTGATATTTTTGTTATAGGTTATCCAGTTTTCCTTGAGGGATTATGTGCAGTATTGGTATTATACACTAAGTGATGATGAATCTTTTCTTCTTGAAATTAGGCAGACTCTTCAAAATGCACTCATTCAGTTTGCTACTAGGTAAGGTCACTGCATTATATTTATGAAGAAAAATTTAGATATATTGTTTGTACCAATAGGGAAGATAACATTTAAATGGGGGAGGGGATCGTTCATTAAAAGGTAAGTAGAACAGTAGATTATTATTGTGATATAATTCCCAGATTATAGAACTAGAGCCCTTAAAATCTACCAGGTACCACAGACTTTTGATTTTGCAGAATGCTTATCTTGATTAAACCCTGTTCTCTCAGGCTGTGTGCCAATTTTTTCCTCAGGGTCTAAAATCAGATGACTTTTCAAATCTTTTACCCCACTTTTTGATAATACTCTTTTCTCCTCATCTCTAGATACTCTATTTTATTTAGTTGCTGTGGAAATAGATTAATTTCAGTAAAACAGCTCTTCCCAATGGCAGTTTCAGTATAACTGTTTTTTTTTTTTTTTAAACTTTCGCACATACCTAATGGAAGTCCTCTTTGAAGGAGAAGGAGGAACCAAAGGAATATTAGTCAATGGATAATATTCAACTTATTTTTCTTAAGAAGAGAAGTATATTTTGATAAGTTTAAGGTACTTTTCTTTTGAGATGTACTAAAATTCTCACTTTACAAACCAGCTGTATACTACTTTCTATATGACAAAAGTATTTTGGCTTATGTCCTTTTATGTAGCTACTTGTTTTTTTTTTTTGGCGGGTGGGTCATTTTATATCTATTTAAATTATGTTTACTTTAATTTTTGTTTTTGAAATCTTTTTAGTTGGCAACATTAAATGAAAGGGAAAACGTGCTCCAGAAACTATTTTTTAAAAAATTGAAACATAGTTGATTATATATATCTGTCGGGTACAAAGTTGAATATCAATACCTGTGTGCAATATGTGGTGCTCAAATCAGGATAATTTATATATTCAACATGACACTATGTAATTATCTTTTATGGCCCTTTAGCAATTCCTCCCTCAACCCTCTCCCCCTCCTCCTTTCCCACCTCTGGTGGCCTCAGTTCTGTTCTCTCCTTTTGCAAGTGCAGTGTATTATTGTGATTGTTTTATCTTTCTTTCTTTTAGCTTCAACTTATAAGTGAGGACATGTGGTATTTCTCTTCTCTGTGCTTGGCTTATTTCACTTAACATTATTTTCTCTAAGTTCATCCATGTTGTGGCAAGTGGCAGAATTTCATTTTTTTAAATGGCTATTTATTATTCCATTGTGTAAATATACCACATTTTCCTTATTCACTTGTCCATTGATGGACATTTAAGTTGGTTCCAACTCTTACATATTGTAAATAGAGCTGCATTAAACAGGGGAGTGCAGGTATCCCTTTGACAAGATGATTTCCATTCCTTTGAGTATATACCCAGCAGTGGAATTGCTGATTTTATGGCAGGTCTCTCTGTAGTTATTTGAGGAACTTCCATACTGTTTTCCTTAATGGCTGCACCAATTTACAGTTTCTCCAACAATATAGGGGGGCTCCCCTTTCTCTGCATCCTCACCAGCATTTGTTAATCTCTGTCCTTTAGAAAATAGCCAGTGTAACTGGGGTGAGATGGTATCTCAGTGTGGTTTTGATTTTCATTTCCATGATGCTGAGTGTTGTTCAACATTTTTTCGTGTGTCTGTTGGCCATTTGTATATCATCCTTTGAGAAATGCCTATTTAGATCCTTTGCCCATTTTTTAATGGGGTTATTTGTTTTTTTGCTGTGAAGTTGTTTGAGTTCCTTGTATTTTCTGGATAGTAATCCTTTGTCAGATGCATAGCTTGCAAATATTTTCTCACAGTCTGTAGTTTGTCTTATTGCTCTGTTAATTGTTTCTTGTGCTATGCAAAAGCTTTTTAGTTTGATATAATGCCATTTATTTATTTTTCCTTTTGTCATCTGTGCTTTTGGGGTCATGCTCATAAAGTCTTTGACTAGTCCTACTTTCTGAAGTGTTTCCCGTATGTTTTCTTTTAGTGGTTTTGTAGGTTCAGGTTGTATATATAAGTCTTTAATCCATTTTGGGTTGATTTTGGTATATGGCAAGAGTTAAAGGGTCTAGATTCATTCTTCTACATATGGATGTCCAGTTTTCCCAGCACCATTTATTGAAGAGCTAGTCTTTTCCCCAATGTCTGTTTTTGGTGTCTTTGTCGAAGATCAGTTGTTTGTAAGTATTTGGGTTGATTTCTGGGTTCTCTGTTCTGTCGCATAGGTCCGAGTATCTGTCTTTATGCCAGTATCATGCTGTTTTGGTTACTCCGACTTTGTAGTATGATTGGAAGTCAGGTAGTATTACGCCTCCAGCTTTATTTACTTATTTTTTTGCTCAGGATTGCTTTGGGTATTCGGGGTCTTTTGTTCTGTGTGAATGTAAGAATTGCTTTTTAATTTCTGTAAAGGATGTCATTGGTATTTTGATGGGGATTGCATCGAGTCTGTGTATTGTTTTTGGGTAGAATGAACATTTTCACAATGTTAATTCTTCTAATTCTAAGAGCATGGGATGTGTTTCCATCTTTTTGTGTCCTCTAATTTTTTTCAACAGTAATTTGTAGTTCTTATTGTAGAGATCTTTCATTTTCTTGGATAAATTGATTTCCTAGGCATTTTATTTTTATGGTGACTAAAATGGGCTTACTTTCTTGATTTCTTTTTCTGCTAGTCTGTTGTTGGAGTATAAAAACAATACTGATTTATGCATGTTGATTTTGTATCTTGCAGCTTTACTGAAATCATTTATCAATTCTAAGAGGTTTTTTTATAGAGTCTTTAGGTTTTTCTATGTATAGGATCATGTCATCTGCAAACAAGGACAGTTTGACTTTGTCTCTTCTGATCTGGATGCCCATTATCTCTTTCTCTCGCCTGATTGCTTTGGCTAGTACTTCCAATACTGTGTTAAAGAGGAGTTGTGAAAGTGAGCTTCCTTGTTTTGTTCCCATTCTTAAGAGAAAAGCTGAAAGCTTTTCCCCACTTAGGATGATATTGACAGTGGTTTTGTCATATATGGATTTTATTGTGTTGAGATACTTTCTGTCTATACCTTATTTGCTGAGATACTTTATCATGAAGGGATGTTGGATTTTGTCAGATGCTTTTTTCTGTGTATATCGAGGTAACCATATGGTTTCTGTCTTGGATTTTGTTGATGCGGTATGTTACATTTATTGACTTGGCATACATTGAACCATCTTTGCATCCCAGGGATGAATCCCACTTGATCTTGGTGTATATATTATTTTAATGTGTTGCTGTATTCTGTTTGCTAATATTTTATTCAGGATTTTTGCATCTTTGTTCATCAAAGATAATGTGGAATGTAATTTTCCTTTCTTTTTGCATCTTTGATTATGGTATCAGAGTGTGCTGGCCTCATAGAATGAGTTTGGGAGAATTACCTCTGTTTCAATTTTTTAGAATAGTTTTATGGGAATTGGTATTAATTCCTCTTTAAGAGTTTGGTAGATTTCAGCAGTAATGCCATCCAGTCCTGGACTTTTTCTTTGCTGTGAGATTGCTCATGACTGCTCAGTGCCATTGCTTGTTGTTGGTCTGTTCGGGTTTTCTGTTTCTGCTTGGTTCGGTCTTGGTAGTTTGTATGCATTCAGAAATTTATTGGTTTCCTCCAGGTTTTCAAGTTTGTTGGCATATAGTTGTTTATAATGGTCTTTAATGATTCTTTGTATTTCTGTGGTATCGGTTGTAATGACTTCTTTTTCATTTCTAATTTTTGTTATTTGGATCTTCTCTCTTTTTTTAATTAGCCTTGCTAATGGCTTGTCTATTTTGTTTATCTTTTCAGACAGACAACTTTTTGTTTCCTTGATCTTTTGTATCATTTTTTGGGTTTCTTTTTTATTTAGTACTACTCTGATCCTAATTATTTCTTTCCATCTACTAATTTTGGGATTGGATTGTTATTGTTTTCCTAATTCTTTGAGGTATAGCATTAGGTTGTTCAATTGAAATCTATTCTTTTGATGTGAGCATTTATTGCAATAAACTTCCCTCTTAGTAATGCTTCTGTAGCATCCCAGTGGTTTTGGTGTGATGCGTCGTTATCTTCATTAGTATCGAGGAATTTTTTTATCTCACGTTTAATTTTTTCTTGCACCCATATATCATTCAGGAGTATGTTCTTTACCTTCCATGTGTTTGTGTAGTTTCCAGAGTTTCACTTGTTACTGATTTCTAGTTTTAATTCATTGTGGTCTGATTAGATACTTGAAATTATTTCAGTTTTTAAAAATTTGTTGAGTCTTGATTTGTGATCTAACTCTAGCATATGGTCTATTCTGGAGAATGTTGTATGTGCAGATGAGGAGATTGTATATTCTGTGGTTGCTGGATGAAATATTCTGTAGATATGTGCCAAGTCCAGTTGGTCTAAAGTGTGGTTTCAGTCCTCTGTTTTTCTGTTGATTTGTTGCCTAGATGATCTGTCCAGTGTTGAGAGGGGGGTGTTCAGGTCCCCAGCTATATTATCGTATTTGGGTCTATGTCTTTCTTTAGGTCTAATGGTGTTTGTTTTACATATCTGGATGTTCCAATGTTGGATACAGATATATTTATGATTGTTATGTCTTCTTGCTCTATAGATCCCTTTATCGTTATATAGTGGCTTTCTTTGTCTCTTTTTATAGTTTTTGATTTAAAGTCTATTTTATCTGATATAAGAGTAACTCTTCTGCTCATTTTCAATTTCCACTTGTGTTGTATGTCTTTTTCCATCCCTTCACTCTTAGTTTTTCTGTGTCTTTACAGGTGAAATGAGTCTCTTGTAGACAGCATATAGTTGTGTCTAACTTTGTAATGTGAAGTGGGGAATTTAGTCCATTTAGGGTTTTTCCTGAAAGGTATTGTGTTACTTTTAGCATTTTATGGATTTTCATTTTGATTTTTAAAATATCTTTTGTTTCTTTCCCTTTTATTGTTTGTCTTCAATGTTTGTTGGGTTTTGGAGGTATTAAGATATAGTTTCTTCCTCTTTCTCATTTGCATTTTTGTTCTATCAGTGAGGTTTCTTC